GCTGCCCTCACCGACACCCCAGCTGATCAGTCCTCGGTGCCCCTCCCTGACCTCGCTGCCCTTTCTGCTGTCTTCTCCAGAACCGCGCGGAGATCAAGAATGGCAGCATCCTATGCCTCAGCACGGCCCCAGTAATCCCCCTCGCGGCCTGCCTACCCCATCCCTGCCCCTTTGCCCCAGGTCCGGAGGCCCCTACCCCGGAGGCCGCCGCCCCAGACCTGCCTTGAGCCACCTAGTTGACACCCGGGGCCGCACACTTCCAGGTCCCACCCTTACTGTGCCCAACCTCTTCACCTCTGTTCCTGCTTCGTTCCTGCCAGGACCTTGAGGCTGAGCAGCTCTTGGGTGGGCTGCAGAGTGACAGTCGTGAAGGGCGCCTGGAAGCCCTGAGACACTTTGTCCCTCTGGCCTCGGACATGACCTTTGCCAGGGAGGTCATCAGCCGTAATGGGCTCCAGAGACTAGGCACCATCATTGAGGATGGGGACGAGTGAGCACAGGGATGTGTGGGCTGGGGGAGATGGTGGGGCTTTCTGGTCCTGATCTGGTCCTGCTCAGCCCCAGATGTCCCCCCTCCAGCCTAGGAGAGGTGCTGGCCCTCAGCCTGAGGGCCTTCTTGGAGCTCATGGAGCACGGCGTGGTGTCCTGGGAGACACTGAGCATCCCCTTTGTGAGGAAGGTGGGTGGGCTTTCCTAGGGCAGCGGGTGGGGGCAGTGGAGCAGTGAGGCAGTGGTAGACCCGGGTTCCATGGGGGTGAGGTGGTGACACCCCCACCCCTTACAGGTGGTGTGCTACGTGAACATGAACCTCATGGACGCCTCCGTGCCACCCCTGGCCCTTGGGCTGCTGGAGAGTGTGACCTTGAGCAGCCCAGCCCTGGGCCAGCTGGTCAAGAGTGAGGTGCCCTTGGATAGGCTGCTGGTGCACCTACAAGTGTAAGCCTCTGGGGCTGGGGTCCAGATGTGGGGAGCAGGGCTGGAGCCTGAATGTTCCACTGAGCCCTCTTCTTGCCATAGGATGAACCAGCAACTGCAAACCAAGGCCATGGCCCTGCTGACAGCCTTGCTGCAGGGGGCCAGCCCTGTAGAACGCAAGGTTAGTGTCGATCAGTGGCTGGATGTGGACAGCACCCGGTAGGCACCGCCCCACCCTAGGGCGAAATAATCTAAGCCCCCTTTCTTTCTACCCTCTCAGCACATGCTTGACTATCTCTGGCAGAGGAACCTTCGCCAGTTCATCTATAAGGTAGGAGGTGGTGGGCCAGGGGCACCTCTCTGCCCCTCCCTCCCAGTGAGCCCTTGCTCAAACCTGGGTCTGGCTGTCTTGCAGAACATCATCCACAGTGCAGCACCAATGGGCGACGAGATGGCTCATCACCTGTATGTACTGCAGGCCCTCACGCTGGGGCTGCTGGAGCCGCGTATGCGGACGCCCCTGGACCCCTACAGCCAGGTGTGTGTCTTTAGTGGGGACAAGGCGGGGGTGGCTTGGAGTTTGGCCTTGAATCTATAATATTGATCCCTTCCCCTGCCACCCGACACTGACCCCAGGAGCAGCGGGAGCAGCTGCAGGTCCTACGCCAGGCTGCCTTCGAGGTGGAGGGGGAGTCCTCGGGTACCGGGCTGAGTGCTGACCGTCGCCGTTCCCTCTGTGCCCGAGAGTTCCGCAAACTGGGCTTCTCTGTGAGTATCCCCCCTACCCAACTCCCCAACCCTGCCTCAGCCCAGGGCTGTTGTTCCGGGGGGCTATGACCCTTCTTGAACTGCCTGTGCCCACTTCCCCCAGAACAGCAACCCAGCACAGGACCTGGAGCGCGTGCCCCCCGGTCTACTGGCCCTGGACAACATGTTGTACTTCTCCAGAAATGCACCCAGCGCGTACAGCCGGGTTGGTGACAGGGTAGGGTGGGGGGTGGCAGCATCCCCCAGGCAGGGTCCCCATGGGCTTAGCCGTGACACCTTGCCCCATTCTCTGCCCCCTCCAGTTTGTGTTAGAGAACAGCAGCCGCGAGGACAAGCACGAGTGCCCCTTTGCCCGGGGCAGTATCCAGCTGACGGTGCTGCTGTGTGAGCTGCTCCACGTTGGGGAGCCCTGTGAGTGGCCGGGACTGGGCACAGCATGGCTAAGAGCAGGGGACGGAAGGGCAGAGAGGGCCAGGGGCTGCATGCACTTTCTCCCTGAGCCCCTCCTGCCCCCCCGCTCCAGGCTCTGAGACAGCCCAGGACTTCTCGCCCATGTTCTTCGGCCAAGACCAGAGCTTCCACGAGCTCTTCTGTGTGGGTATCCAGCTGTTGAATAAGACCTGGAAGGAGATGCGGGCCACACAGGAGGACTTCGACAAGGTGGGTGGGGTGGGAGCTGGGAGGCCTGGGCCAGGGCAGGGGGCTGATCTGGGTACAGAGCTCAGGCCCTGAGCTGAGCTTGGGCGGCCCCAGGTCATGCAGGTGGTGCGGGAGCAGCTGGCCCGCACTCTGGCCCTGAAGCCCACCTCCCTGGAGCTCTTCCGAACCAAGGTGAATGCGCTCACATACGGGGAGGTGCTGCGGCTGCGGCAGACCGAACGGCTGCACCAGGAGGGCACACTGGCTCCCCCTATACTGTGAGTTTGCGGGGATGGATCTTCAGTCCTAGACCCACCTTCCCTGGTGCCCCCTGGGCTACTCCCCAAGTCAGATGTGCTCAGTGACACCCCTCTATCAGGGAGCTGCGGGAGAAGCTGAAGCCAGAGCTCATGGGCCTGATCCGCCAGCAGCGCTTGCTCCGCCTCTGTGAGGGGACGCTCTTCCGCAAGATCAGCAGCCGGCGGCGCCAGGGTCTCTGAGTGGGCATGGGTGGGGGGCAGAGGGCAGGCAGAGGGCGGCTGGCTTGGTGTCAGGACCTCTCAGCACTCTGGCCCTCTTCCTTTTCTCCACAGACAAGCTGTGGTTCTGCTGCCTGTCCCCCAACCACAAGCTGCTGCAGTACGGAGACATGGAGGAGGGCGCCAGCCCGCCTACCCTGGAGAGTCTACCTGAGCAACGTAAGGCGGGCAGGGGCGGGGGCCAGACACCTGCTCTCCCCAGACCGCCTTGGGCCCCGGGGCTGCCGGGGCCGCAGTGCTCAGCCCAGCCTTCTTCCTGCAGTCCCTGTGGCCGACATGAGGGCACTCCTGACAGGCAAGGACTGCCCCCATGTCCGGGAGAAGGGCTCCGGGAAGCAGAACAAGGTGGGTACAGCAGGCCGGGGGCTCCTTCCCACCCGCCTCTGCCTGCCCTGTCCTCTGCTCAGTGTCCCCGCTCCCTTGCTTCCCCAGGACCTCTATGAGTTGGCCTTCTCGATCAGCTATGACCGCGGGGAGGAGGAGGCGTACCTCAACTTCATTGCCCCCTCCAAGCGGGAGGTGAGTGTCCGCCAGGCTGAGGTCAGCAGGTGGGCAGGGGAGGCAGATGGGCAGACCCTCATGGCTCTGTGCCACCCCCAGTTCTACCTGTGGACAGACGGGCTCAGTGCCTTGCTGGGCAGTCCCATGAGCAGCGAGCAGACACGGCTGGACCTGGAGCAGCTGCTGACCATGGAGACCAAGCTGCGTCTGCTGGAGCTGGAGAACGTGCCCATCCCTGAGCAGCCACCCCCTGTGCCCCCACCCCCCACCAACTTCAACTTCTGCTATGACTGCAGCATCGCTGAACCTTGACAATGTGCCTGGCCACGGGCCACAGCTGCGGCCACTGCAGCAGCCATGAAGGGCGGAGGGTAGAGGAGTGCAGGCACCCTGGCCAGCAGAGACTGCTGCAGAAATAAAGTCTGCTTGGCTTTTGGGATATGTTGAGCCAGCTCTGAACCTTGTGGGCTGAGCCTGTGACAGTGACAGTCTTCCCCTTCTGCCTTCAAACTTAGCTGGTGGATAAGATGGGGCATCAGGCCAGGCCACAAACTTTGACAGCTGCGGTTGAGGGGCTGGTGTTTTGAAGCGGGTGGGGAGAGGATGGGACTGCTGCCCTTCTCCAAGATGAGTCCTCAGCCTCCCTCCATGCTGGGCCTGCGGGGAGGGCTGGCCTGTGGTCTGGGGGTACCTGCCAAGGGAGAGGCTGGGCTGCCAGCCTGCTGCCGGAGAAGTGGCAGGGCAGGAGGCACTGCTCCAAATGGATGCCTTCCTGGACAGCATTAACAGGGGCATAGTCTGGGAGCCATCTCCAGAAGGCTCCTGACAGTCTGACCTCAGTCCTCAAGCTTGCATGGCCCTGCCTGGTGTCCTCTGTAGGACTTGGAGGTCTCTGGTGAGAGGCCTGAAGGGAGAGGCAGAAGGGCAGGCTCAAGATCCCCAGGCCAGTGGGAGGATGTGGGCTGATTCTGACAAGAGCCACTTCTGTGCAGGAAGCCCCGGATTCTGATTAAAACCTAACTTAGGGCCGGGCTTGGCTCACGCCTATAATCCCAGCACTGTGGGATGCTGGGGCAGGCCAATCACCTGAGGTTAGGAGTTCAAGACCAGCCTGGGCAATATGGTGAAACCCTGTCTCTACTAAAAATATAAAAATTAACTGGGCATGGTGGCACACACCTGTAATCCCAGCTACTCAGGAGGCTGAGGCAGGAGAATCGCTTGAACCCAGGAGGTGGAGGTTGCACTGAGCTGAGATTGCACCACTGCACTCCAGCCTGGGCGACAGAACAAGACTCCATCTCAAAAAAAAAAATTAAAAACCTAACTCAGAACCATGGGTAGGGTGGGGGCCAGAGACAGGCCAGAGCCCCTGGGGGCAGAAGCAGCGAGAAGTATTGGGTCCAGCTGGAGGTTTGGTCACGGGGTAGAGGCTGTGGTCACAGACCCCAAGCCCTTGAGGAAAGAAGAGCCCGTCAGTCTGTGGAGTTCACAGGATAGGTTGAAGCCACCGCCCCTCAGACTTCTCCCTGCCATTCACCTCTTCTCTCCCCAGTGCCACCTCCAATTTCTTTTCTTTCTTTCTTTCTTTTTTTTTTTTTTGAGATAGAGTTTCACTCTTATTGCCCAGGTTGGAGTGCAGTGGCGTGATCTCGGCTCACTGCAACTTCCACCTCCCAGGTTTAAGCGATTCTCCTGCCTCATCCTCCCAAGTAGCTGGGATTACAGGCATGCACCACCACACCCGGCTAAATTTTTTGTATTTAGTAGAGACAGGGTTTCACCATGTTAGTCAGGCTGGTCTCTAACTCCTGACCTCAAGTGATCCACCTGCCTCAGCCTCCCAAAGTGCTGGGATTACAGGCATGAGCCACCGCACCTGGCTCCAATACTGTTTGTTTGTTTGTTTTTTGTTTTTGTTTTTTTTTAGATGAAGTTTTGCTCTTGTTGCCCAGGCTGGAGTGCAATGGCACCATCTCAGCTCCCCGCACCCTCCGCCTCCCGGGTTCAAGCGATTCTCCTGCCTCAGCCTCCTGAGTAGCCGGGATTATAGGCAAGCGCCACCATGCCCGGCTAATTTTATATTTTTAGTAGAGAAGGGGTTTCTCCATGTTGGTCAGGCTGGTCTCGAACTCCCAACCTCAGGTGATATGCCTGCTTCGGCCTCCCAAAATGCTGAGATTACAGGCATGAGCCACCGCACCTGGTCCCAATAACGTTTTTAACTGTTAACCGTCAACCTGGCTGATCTTGAGAACTGATGAAATGGCACTTCCTTTGGAGAGTGTGCTGGAGGGCACTTGCTCCCCCTCCCCCAGCTAAGCTTCAGATCCTTGGGCATCCAGGGCCTACCATGCCCATGCCTAAGGACTTCCCACCACAGTTGGAGCAGTCAGCCATGGAGTTCTAGGTGGAAATGGGGGCAGGGATCCCTGATGCTGTTGGCCTCCCTTCCCAACACTGTGGGCCAGGCCTGAGGAGGGAGTGTGTCTCGGGATTTCCTCCGCCTGCCCCAGGGCCACTTCAGCTGAAGTTGGGAGGGGAGGGGCCCTTTAGGGGCCTCCCTGTAACCGTCAATTATTCCTGCTTAATGTTTCCAGTCCCTTGTGCGTGCCACCATCATAGCAACAGCCTCCCGACTTCCTGCCTCCTGTCTTGCACTTCTAATCCTCTCAATACCAGCTACCCCAACTGCTTTCACCGATATAAATCTTATCATACACACACACAAACATCCCATATATTTGATGTCGCCCTATCCATGTCCATGGGTTAATGGCCACAGTTTCCATGACTGAACCTGAGTTGAGCCAGGTGAGTCACAGACATACCGTGGTTTAGCCCTTTCACCTGAGCACCTGTGGCTTGCAGTGTTCTTGATGCTTGGTCTGAGCTGGCATCCTCCCTGCCTAGACTACCCCCTCAGTGACAGCTGTGGCCTGCCTGTGTGCACCCCCACAGTGCCTTCTACCTGGATCACCCCCTTCCTTTCTTCTGGCCATTTTCACTGCCCTGATTCCTTCCTGGACCCTCCAAGCCCAATTTGTTGCTCCCTGGGCTCTGGTCCCAGGTGCTTGTCTCTCTCTTCACCCGCACCCTGCACGCTGGACTGTCCCTGCTAGCTGGCTTCTCTGCCTCCCCAGCTGGCCCTGGGGCTGGGAAAGCTTTGACCCCTCTGAATCCCCACATAAAGCACAGTCCCTGCAGGCACCGAGGGAGCCCTGGCTCGCTGCTACAACCAGTGAACACGAATACGGACGAGGTGCGGGGACACACCAAGGGCCAGAGCTGCCATGGAGAAGTCACCACCACCATTGAAGAGGCTGGACTAGGTGACCTCTAGTGACCCTCTCACCCAGAGATGCTGGCCTCTTTCATTCTTTTCCTCTTATTTCCCCCTCAGGACAGCCTCATTGACTCAGGCATCATTCATCGGTAGTTCCTGGAATCTGGCTGAGACAAGCACACAGCTTGTGCCTTTGCCTCAGGACACACCCAAGCCTGCGGGGTCTCCTACTGTGTGGGGAAGATGCTAGGAGTGTCAGGCCAGGGCGGGAGCCCCCGTGGGGCTGTGGGCCAGGCCTGAGGAAGGAACATGTCTCGGGGTTTTCTCTGCCTGCCCCAGGGCCACTTCAGCTGAAGTTGGGAGGGGAGGGGCCCTTTAGTCAGAATTTAAGACAAGGAGGTACTATCTGGAATGTTTAATCTTAGGGTTTACAACATAGACCTGGGCTCAGCTGCTGAAGCTCAGTGCACACAGGGTGCTGGGAGAGTCCCACAGGAGTAGGTGGAGCTGGGCCTTAGGTCTGAGAAGAGGGCAGGCAAGAAGCAGGGGCTCTGCTCCTCCCAGCACCAGACCCCGCCTGCTGGGGGCCTGGCCTCCCACCCAGGGCTTGGCCAGAGAGCAGGAGCCTGTGACAGCAAACAAGCAGCTAGCATTTCCAGGGGCCTGTGGCAGCCACGTGTAGCTGGAAAGAGGCTACTGTCAGGTGGTGTGGCGGGAAGTTCCCTCTGGGCTGCCTGGATTGGCCCCACCCCCAGTCCTAGAGGGTCTGCAGTAGAGGGAGGCAAGAGGCAAGCCAGGTCAAGGCCAGGGTTGGGGACTGGGGGAGTCAAGGAGGCTGTGCTGCAGGGCTGGTTACTGACCCGGCCTCAGAGTGTTAGGGTCAGGTCAGCCCCTCCCACGAAGCGGGACTGGACGCAGGACACCTGGGGCAGCTGGGCTTGGAAGCGTCTGATGGCGGCCATGTTGATGCCAGGGCACATGGCCACATCCAACACCCGGAGCTGCCTGCACGCCTGCCCAATGGTATCCAGTGTCCTGTGGGGAGGCCACTGGATGAGTGTCTGGCCCGGCGTGGGACCCAGCCCAGCCCCTGCACTGTGGCTCCATCTGCCCAGTGTCATCGGACACACTCACTGCTCTGTGAGCTGACTGCAGCTGGACAGGTTGAGGTGCTGCAGCCTCGGCCAGGAGCTGGCTGCCTGGGCCCAGCCCTTGTCACTGATGCGGCTGCAGTGACTCAGCGCCAAGTGCTCCAGGCTAGGACAGCCCCCGGCCACAGCCACCAAGCCCTTGTCTGTAAGTTCTGGCAACAGGCTCAGGGACAGCTGCCTCAGCTGGGGGAACTGGAGCACCTACAAGGATGGGGAGGGTCGGGGAGAAGTAAATGCCACTGGAGCCCACAGTCTTGGCCTTTCCAGATCCTCCCACCCCAGCCAGGGCATGACTAGAGGCAGCAGAAGCCAATGAAAAAGGAACTCCAAGGTCAACTTTTTTCCAAGCAAAAAGTGGGTTGGCCCAGACCCCTGACTTAAGCCCCAAGATCCTCAGCCTACCCGCACCCGCAGCCCCACACCTTGGCTAAACTGGCATCAGTCAGCTTGCTGCAGGCTGTGAGGTCCAACTCCTGCAGGGCCCGAAGCATGAGCAGGGAGGGGCCCTGTGGCTCGGGACAGGGGTCCTTGGTGCCTGAGGCCTGATGCTCCAGCTCTGGGCGTGGCTGTAGGAAGAAGCCCTTGCTTCTCAGGTTCCTCCTGAGTTTGCCCTTAAATGTTCCTACAGAGAGACTTGGAAGGGACAGGAGGGCAGCTGAGCCCAGGGGCCACCCCATCCTCCCAAGACTTCGAGGGTCCCGCACCTGGGTCCCCTGCACAGGCTCCTCCAGCCCCAGAAGCCCCCAGTCACACAGCTCCCTGCACCAAGCCAGGCGTAGGACTGAGAGGTGGGTGAGGTAGGTGCAGATGGCCTGCAGGGTCCGGTTGGTGAGGGCCACACAGGAGGACAGGTCTAGCACCCTGAGGCTCAGGCCCAGCGCTGGGATCATGGAGAGCACTGAGGCGTCCTAGGAGGGAGGAAGGGAGGAGACAGGATGGAGCAGCAGCTGGTTGCCTATGCCACCTGGCCTGGCAGGGGTAGCTAAGAAGGGTCTGTTCAAGGTTCTCACCCCACAGGCAGGAGGGAGGGAGGGGAGCTACCAGAGGGTCCAAGGAAGGAAGCAACATGGTCCCTGTGCTGGTAGTGAAAGGTGGGGGTGGGCAGGGTGGGCCATGGGGGTTGCTGCAGGAAAAAGGCCTGGACTGTGGCTGGGGCAGGAAGGATGCAAGTGGCAGGGCCTAGGGTGGCCACCCTGCCTATGCTCCCAGCCCCTGCCAAAAGAGTGAATGAGGCCACCTCAGACCACAGCTCACTGGACCAGCCAGTTGACTCTGCTAAGCCAATCGGAGTCGCTCCCTCTAGAATTGGAACCAGAAGTATGAGATGGAGGTAGAGCTGCCAGCTGACAGGGCAGTTAGGGATGGGGAGCAGGAGCTAAGGGCAGAGTAGAGGAGGCTGGTTTGTAGAGAGATGCACAGAGGGGAACTTCGTACCAGGCTTCGTACCAGGTGCTACAATCTGTTGCTTACCACCTGGGCCCACACCTGCAGAGCTTGTCCCTGGGTGGAGGCAGCCCCACAGAGGCCTCCTTTGTGGCCCTGATCCTGGGCTGCCCAGCCCTGTGTGTCCTTGATCTCAGTGGCTGCAACAGCCTCTTCACCTCTGGCACACTGCTGGCTCAGCCCGAGATGGCACAGAGGGACAAAAGAACGTGAGGCCTGGAGGCAGCAGCTGAGAGGACACGGGGATGTTGTACCACATATCCGACATGCTTGGTGCCAAAGAGAAGGAGGAGTAAGGCCAGGAAGAGAGACACTTGGAGGGTAACAAGGTGGAGAGATGGTTTTTAGGTTGGGAATGCCCTGGTCAAATGGACAGGCTGAAGAAATAATCCACTAAAGAGGGACAGACTGACACTGCCAAGACAGGGGCGCCACCCAGAGGGACAGCGCTGAGCCCCGCTAAAGGGCCTGACCTTGGCTACGAAATGACCCTGCTGCTCCTGTCACATCACCCTCACAGGCCCTGCCCCAACACCTTCCTCAGTGCTCCTTCCCTGCCTTCCTTGCCCATCACCCCCTTTCTTCAGCCCTCCCAGCTTCGGAACACTCGTCCTTAGCGCCCCTCCCCAGACCACATGCACTTGGCATGTGAGCTGTTGGCCGCCTCGTGGGCTGGGTCACCTTGGCCACTTGGACCTCCTAGGCCCACAATGGGGGCTTTGGGGAGATGTGCTGGCAGCAGCAGCAGCTGTCTAGGCTCTTGTCCTCCTCCAGATTGGGTCCCAAGTACATTTCTAACTGCCAATCATAGGCATGAACACTGGGGAGTCCCTTCCTGGTGCCACAGGCCCACCACCACCCCAGTTCCCCCTCCCGCTGTCCTCAGCCCTGGAGAGGAAGGAAGGGGATGATGGTGAGCTCACCTTCAACGAAGAGCAGTGGGCCAGGCTGAGGGAGGCCAGCTGGGATGGAGCCCCGTGCACAGAGCCCAGGGCCTGGGCCAGTTCCCGCCCTCTCACCAGGCAGCACTCGGCCATGTTGAGGCTCTGCAGCTCCCGCAGGCCACCCAGAGCTGTACATCCTGCGTCTGTCAGCCGCTGCAGCTTCCCCAGGCTCAGGCGCCGCAGGTGCCGCAGGCCCCGGCTCACGGCCAAGAGCGCCCCATCAGTCAGTTCTGAGCAGCCGCTGAGGTCCAGGGAGGTAAGGCCTGGTTGCTGGAAGCACAGGGTAGCCACAGCCTCTGTGGAGAGGTCCCGGCAGCAGTGCAGGCTCAGCTCCTGCAGTTGCAGCCCAGCTACCTGGCCCAGGGCCTGCAGGGCCTCGGGTGGTAAGCCAGTGCCACTCAGGTCCAGGGCACGCAGCCTGCCAGCCCGCTCTTGCACAAATCGCAGCAGGTTGCGGAAGGAGAACTGGGAGGGAGAGGAGTCTTGGGGGCTGATGGAGCCTCGGACTGGGCCTAGCTCGAAGGTGAGGTGGCAGTATGCCAAGGAGAGGCGCTCCAGGCTGGGGGCACAGCTGCTGAGCCGGTTGAAGCTGAGGTCAGCCAGGTCTCGCAGGCCAGCCAGGTTGAGCTCACGGAGGCCACTCAAGGCCTGCCGGACGCTCTGTGCCATCTCGGGCTGAGCCAGCAGTGTGCCAGAGGTGAAGAGGCTGTTGCAGCCACTGAGATCAAGGACACACAGGGCTGGGCAGCCCAGGATCAGGGCCACAAAGGAGGCCTCTGTGGGACTGCCTCCACCCAGGGACAAGCTCTGCAGGTGTGGGCCCAGGTGGTAAGCAACAGACTGTAGCACCTGGTACGAAGCCGGAGAGCCATCCACGTTGGTCAGGCTGATGCAGCAGATGCCCCTGAGGCCCAGGCTCTTGATGGCCGAGAGGGAGGCAGACGACACTGGGATGTTGTATCGTACATCTGTCTATGGAGCAGCAGCAGGCTTCGGGGTAGCCCTCTGGCTTCAGAGGGTGCTGGGCATTGGGTTTGGTGACAAGTCACTGGCCAGAGGTTGAGGGCAGGTCAAGGAAGGGCCCTTCCACAACGGGGACCCATCGTGGTGTGTGGTATCATGTGTGGTCAAGTTGGGCATGGGTAGGAAGTGGGAGCTGAGGTTCAAATGAGATGACCATCAGAGGAAGGCGGGAAGGTTAGTGATGGATAGGACGGGATGCTGAGGGAGGGGCGGGGACAGAGTGGGGAGTTGGCATGCTGAGCACAGGAGGGCTGAGATGGGACCTAGAGGAAACCCAGTGAAGTCCCCAGGGCGTGGGAGGGCAAAGTATGCCAGACCCCAACCTTTGGGACTTTCAGAAGGAGGCCCTGAGATCCATGGACTCAGCCTCCTACTCCAGGGACTTGACATGAGCTAAGCAGCCAGCTTCCCCAACTTTCTAGAGAGGATAGCCCTCTGAAGAGTGGAAGGCGAGAGAAGTGAGGTAGGTGTCACTCACCACAACCCTCTATGGCCCAGGTGACAGAGGTCTGGGGCAGGCAGTGAGGCCTAAGTCCCCTGGTGGCCTGAGAGAGTCTGTCACATGAATGTTTGCAAAATGTATTCTCTGTTTAAGCAAAATGTGAAAACTGTATTCTGTGTTTAAGCAAAAATGTGTGCATGTGCATATATGTGTATGTGTCTGTGTATGTATGTGCATGTACATGTGTGTGCATAGAGCTGCCTGGTATTGGGCCCTGGATGCTCCAGCATTCAAGATGTGCTTGTGATCCCTGCAGCATATCTCCGGAGAGGACATCTATCTGTCAAGGTAAGGACACTGAAGCCTCCCATTTCCGTGCATGGGAGCTAACAGAACACACCTCACCCGTGCCAAGGAAGTTGAGCTGGCTGTGTGTAGAGAAATAGGGGAGTGAGAATGGGGAGTGCACAGTTGGAGCCGGGTGGGACCCAAGAGACAAGCTCAGGGCTACATGGTGGGAATAAGTTGGCTTGTGCAGGCATTTAGGAGCTCCCAGCTAAGGAGATATCTTCAAATAACTTTTCCTGATATTGCACTGGAGTGAGCCAAAGGGAAATTGGTAAAATTTGTGTAGAACAGATCTTTGGGGAGAGGGAGAGGAGGGCTTGGATTCTAAAATCCTTGCCCCATCTCCCTACCTCTTGCCCATGTTACAGGCAAGTGGTACTCAAAGAGGGCTCTTGTATGAATCAACATGGTCCTGATGCAGAAAAGAAAGCTCCCCTAAACCTGTCTTGTCAGTAACTGCAAAAACAACCTGCTGTTCCCTGCTGGTACCCCACAGACCATCATCAAAAGGGAATCCAAGCCAGGCATGGTGGCTCACACCTGTAATCCCAGCACTTTGGGAGGCTGAGGCGGGTGGATCACTTTAGGTCAGGAGTTTGAGACCAGCCTGGCCAACATGGTGAAACCCCATCTCTACTAAAAATACAGAAATTAGACTGGGCGCGGTGGCTCACGCCTGTAATCCCATTACTCTGGGAGGCCAAAGCAGGCAGATCACAAGGTCAGGAGATCGAGACCATCCTGGCTAACATAGTGAAACCCCATCTCTACTAAAAATGAAAAAAAAAAATAGCCGGGCATGGTGGCAGGCGCCTGTAGTCCCAGCTACTTGGGAGGCTGAGGCAGGAGAATGGCGTGAACCCGGGAGGCGGAGCTTGCAGTGAGCCGAGATTGCACCACTGCACTCCAGCCTGGGCAACAGAGCAAGACTCCATCTCAAAAAAAAAAAAAAAAACAGGAATGCAAAAAGTAGAAGTGACTCACAGGATGTGTTCCTGCAAGATGCTTATCAACAGGATTCTCCTAAGAAACACAGGACTCATTCCCAGGTGTGGAGAGACCAGCCTGGCTTCTGCCAGAGAGAAGTGGCACCCATGGCTGTAATGACAGGAAGGAGCAGTGTAAGAGACAGGAACCAGCTCCTGGCCTCTTTCACAGGAACCAGGGGTCAGCCAGATTCCCCTTCCAGCCCCTACTTCTGGAACATGGTCATTCCAGATGAGAGGGGCACTCACCACAGGTCTCCTCGTGGGCAGTGGATCAGGGATCTCAGGTGAAAGGGAGGCTGGGAAGATCCCACTGTGTGAGGGTGGAGAGGGCAATAAAACATCAGAGAGGAATGGAGGGCATACCTCCAGCCATTCCCAAGCCCTGCAAGCTAGACAACTCCATCGGATGCAGATGAGAGGAAACTAGCTGGGGCAGCTGGGGCAGAGCTGGCTGTGAGGCAGCACCTCCTTCCCCAACTCACACATCACTGAGGAACCCCTGAAAGTCCTGCAGGCCCCAGCTCCGGCGGCACAGCACCTTCAGGGGCTCAGCCTGACTTCTTTCCTTCCCTTCATTCTGGAGCCTGGCTGGCCAGGAAGGGTCTCTTCTCTCCCACTGCCTCCCTATGAACCAGGCGGACAAAAGACCTTGGAAGGCTCTGGCAGTGCCCCCAGGGCCCAAGTCCAGGGCTGGCTCCTGGCAGCAAGGCCACCTGATAAAGAAGCACGGCTTGGTTTAAAGGACTTCTAGCTCTGGGGGTACAGAAGAGGCTTGAGACCATTTCCGGGCCCCACCGTTTTTGCTGGTGGGATGGGAGCAGCCTCTAAGCCACCTCAGAGGTGCCTCCTAAGGTCTGCTCCTGAGGTCACCTGCTCCTGAGGTCACGTGGATTTAAAACTGCAGGAGTTGGCCGGGTGTGGTGGCTCACTCCTATAATTTCAGCACTTTGGGAGGCCAAGGCAGGTGGATCACAAGGTCAGGAGTTCGAGACCAGCCTGGCCAACATGGCGAAACCCTATCTCTACTAAATATACAAAAATTAGCAGGGTGTGGTGGCAGGAGCTTATAATCCCAGCTACTCGGGAGGCTGAGGCAGAAGAATTGCTTGAACCCAGGAGGCGGAGGTTGCAGTGAGCTGAGATCGTGCCACTGCACTCCAGCCTGGGCAACAGAGCAAGACTCCAGCTTAAATAAATAAATAAATAACCTGCTGGAGCCCAGGAACATCCTTTCAGGGATATTTCTCTGTGTGAGGGCACAGCAGCAGGCTGAAGCAGGCCTTCTGGGTTCTGGACTTTGGCCCTGGTATAGGACACCCCCTTCCTGGGCCCTGGGAAGATGCTTCTAGACCCACCCAAAGAGGACTGCATGGCCACATGCTCTAGCTCTAGCTGCCCCGTCTACAGAGGGAGCACCTTGCCCCCTGGTGTCCTCCCTTCCTGATGCTGGCCTCTTAAGAGTAATCGCTGGCTGGGCATGGTGGCTCATGCCTGTAATCCCTGGACTTTGCCCCAAGGCGGGCAGATCACTTGAGGTCAGGAGTTCAAGACCACCCTGGCCAACATGGTGAAACCCCATCTCTACTAAAAATACAAAAAAGCCAGGTATGGTGGCAGATACCTGTAATCCCAGCTACTCTGGGGGCTGAGGCAGGAGAATCTCTTGAACCTAAGAGGCGGAGGTTACACTGAGCCGAGATCCTGCCACTGCACTCCAGCCTGGGTGACAGTGCGAGACTCCATCTCAAAAACAAAAAACAAAAAACAAAAAAGAAAAAAAAAAGAAAAAAAAAGAGTAATCGCAAAATCATTTGGGAAATGCTCTGAATCTGCTACAAGTGATGTATGTGCCTTTTTTTTTTTTGAGACGGAGTCTAGGTCTGTCGCCCAGGCTGGAGTGCAGTGGCCGGATCTCAGCTCACTGCAAGCTCCGCCTCCCAGGTTCACGCCATTCTCCAGCCTCAGCCTCCCGAGTAGCTGGGACTACAGGTGCCCGCCACCTCGCCCAGCTAGTTTTTTTTATTATTTTTAGTAGAGATGGGGTTTCACCACGTTAGCCAGGATGGTCTCGATCTCCTGACCTCGTGATCCGCCCGTCTCGGCCTCCCAAAGTGCTGAGATTACAGGCTTGAGCCACCGCACCCGGCCTGATGTATGTACCTTGTCTGTGGGAGACCAGGGTTTTGTTTTACCTAGTGAAGCCCTGAACTGAGACTGCAGGCCTGTGTACAGACTTGGAAAGCCATGTGACAGAGAAAATGGCCCTTCATCCTGCCTAGTACAGGACTCCAAAGCTACCATGCCTGTTCTCCAGGAGGCCGTTGGGAAATGTATGCCCTGGCACCCAGGGCATTGGTCTTTAGAGAGGAGTCAGACTGGTGGGTCATACAGAGGCTGCTCCAGGACTTCATCAATCCCTCCGGAAGGGGAGGGCGCAAAGAGCTCTCTTCAGCTATTGCTTCATGGGGACCAACCAGCAGCAGGTAGCCAGGGCTCCCCACAGGAACGGACAGGGCCGGTGTATATGGAGGGTGCTGCCTTTGCCGGCATCCTTGTTTGAGAAAATTGGGATTAAGGGAACAGCTGGGACTGGTCAGGGACAGTAAGTCCCCAAGACCAGTGTCCTACCCTAGCTGGGCCTGTGTCTTCCATAGCACCTAACTGGCACCTAACTGGTACTGCCTCAGTATCCACCTGCCCATGCCTGAGCCCTGGGAGATGGTTCCTGCCTGCAGGGTCCCGCAGGTGCTCTCGGGCACATGGTAGGGGTGATGCCAGGTACCTGTGGCCTGGCCTCCCAGTGCTCCCAGCCTAGGTGGGGCTGAGTTTTGCAGAGGCACTAAAGGGTCTTTGTCAACATTCCTTTTTTCTTTTTCTTGTTTTTGGTTATCCCAAGGCTCTGTCATCTGTCTCTGTCCGCATTCTATCTGGAGAGCATAGTTGCCTGGAGCAGCTCCCGCTCTAAAACACTGACTCTGGCTTCCATCTCCTTCCTCCAGCCCTCACCCCTCCTCCAATCCTATCTGCGCCTCAGGGCCTGGCTGCCCCCCTTGGGCTCCTCTGACTGCCCCGTCTTTGCTGGGCTCCATGAGGCTTTGCCTGTGATGACATCTCCT